CAGAATGTTTATTTAGACTGGTGGCCTAGAATTCAGCTAGAATCCAGATATACAAAAGATAAAATAGAGGGTTTCTACTTCGAACAAACTATCTTTGATAAACTGTTATTGGGTTCAAAAGAACAAATTGTTAAGAAAATGTATAATTATATGTTGGAAATTCAAATGCAAGAGGAAATGGTTAAAGAACCTATGATTAAGTGGGCAGAAAATATAGGGCACAACATTGATATTGATCAATGGCTGAAAATATGGCAAAATAACATAAAGCTCTCAAGATCCTACAAATATTCAACAAATATATATAAGATGTTCTATAGGTGGCATATGACCCCTGAAAAACTGTCAAAGATGTATACTGATGTATCAAATAAGTGTTGGAAATGTGAAACACAAATGGGAAGTTATTATCATATGTGGTGGTCGTGTGGGGTAGCGAAAAAATACTGGAAAAGAGTGCATGTTATGTTACAACAAATTCTGCTTTGTAAAGTACCACTAACCCCAGAATTGTTTCTATTAAGCATGATACCCGACAACATAGATAGGTCAAAGGAACATATAGTTATATATATTATTACAGCAGCCAGAATTATGTATGCTAGAAATTGGAAAAGTACGGCGGTGCCGGAACAAGAAGATCTGATGGAAAAGATACGGGAAATAGCCGAAATGGACATCTTATCGGAAGTTATGAAGGACCAATCCTTGCAAAGGGCAACAGAAAGATGGGACTTATTTTATAAATGGACTGAATTAACAGGTAGTAGCTGAATATATATAGTGAAATGTGAACCTTATACATAAGGCAGAAAAGAGTAAATAGAATGATTTTGGATTTGATATGGCAATAGGTATAGATTGGATATTAGTATGCTATGATTTCCCCTCTCCCTCACAAATCCCCTTCCCTCACAAATCCTAACCCCCATGTCCCTATGTCACCCTTTATGTAAAAAATAAAATAAAATTATAAAAAAAATAAAAAACCAAATATTCAACATCCCACACACTACACCAGAACATAGAGTTCTAGCTCCTGTCCTCTGAAGATGCCGGCCACTGAGACTGGCGAAATGTTAGGAAGAAAAACCTCCAGAACACGGCCAAACAGCCAGAAAAATCCACCGCAACCATTGGATCTGGGCCGTGAAAGCCTTCGAGAACACTTTTATAGAACTCTTTGCACAGTAGAACAGAGACTTGGCAAAATATCAGATATTGTTTATAGTCAAACAAGAAAAAAGAATGCACGTAGCATTAGAAATTAGCGCTCAAGGAATGAAAATGAGTCTGCTTATCCTAGCACAAGCTTTCCTCCACCCTACATATTGCAAATTAACTTTGGTTATTGAGAGATAAGAGGAGGGTTTGTTTGCAAGTTGATTGCTTACGCACTGAATTTTGATGGAATTATTTGCTGATAATATGCTGTTCACTTCTAATTACATGGTAACTGTATCACATAGTTTGACCCACAGCTTTTTGTGGTTAAGGAACATACACACATAATGTTGTGGCATGACTCCAGTTTGGCTGGACATCAGAAACCCATCCCCTTAAGCTTAGCTATGGGAGGCTAGCTGCAGCTCTTTTTTGTGGATTAGCTGTACAGTATTCTGTGCATGTGGCGACACATGGTTTCTTTATAATGAGACTGTAGTGTTGATGTCTAGTAGCATAAAGAGTTCTGGACCAAGGTTCTAAAGAGTAAGTCTTATTCTATGGTTGGCCAAGCCTCTTGCCACACCATCCCCCATTCTTCACTTTGTTGGTTATATAATGTGTCCTTACCATCTGAAAAACATGCTGATTCATTCCTGAAGGTAAGAACTTCTGAGGACTTCCACATGTCTTCTTCTACCTCTTCATACCAAAGCTCAGAATCATCAGACCAACTGCAAAAACAACAGACAAAGGGCATTATAAAGACCCAAAAGCAGAGAGAAGGATACAATCAGCCTGGGCACAAGCTCATCTCCCCTTCCTTCCATAATGATATGCTGTACATCAGGACACCATTATTTGTTTAATCATCATTGGCTCTCTTCATTTCCATAACGATACGCTGTACATCAGGACACCATTACTGTATTTGTTTAATCATCATTGGCTCTCTTCAGCGCTTAAGACATCCAGACGTCCAGCCCTATCACTCACCTCAGCCCAACAAATGCATGGACATCCTCCTCATAGATGCCAGGAACGCCAGTGTTATCAGGGCAGCCTCCCTGTGCAGGAGGCCCAGGACTAATCTTCAGCTTACCTTTGGACATCCTATGCCTCTTACCTAGACGAGGACTTCTTCCGTTTGGCCCTGAAGACCAAAACAGACAGGATGATGCTGAGCACAAAGAGAATAGCCAGTGGGAGGCCGAGGGCAACGTCGTTCTTATGGATGCGTGTCTGGCAGTACTTGTCCGTGTACCAATATAGGTCCAAATCATTGCAGCTATAGGAGTGAGATAGAGATGGGTTAGGTGAACTCTTTTCCAAATCTTGCAGTGCACCACTGAATAATATCTAGTTGTTTCTGACCTGCCCCAACCCTCATAAAGTAGTATTACTGAGATAGAGAAGAATGTTTTAGCCAGGAATCTGGAGGGCTTTAAGCTGAACGTTGCTGGTACGGAAGACAGTATTCCAGAGTACAAGGGAAGTGTCGGTGCTGCATCAGAAGTTGGAATGGTGGTCTTGACATCCACCAAGGAATGGGAAAAAAGAAATCGGGTTTTTGTTTTAAATCGAGTTTCATGGAGCACGTTGCATCAGGACCCCACCATTGGGAACTATTTACCCCTGATCCCAGCAATTAGCTTTCCTGACATCAGCAGTTACAAAATCAAAGCATTTTTGTCATGTGCTAAGTCATGCAGCTGATATGAGACCAGAAGTACAAGTGCTGACTTATTAAGCAGTGACTCTTCTTTGCTGACATTTATACTACAGTATTGGACTTAATACAGTAGTCCTAATGAACAGGATTCTGTCAATAGTTTTATCCCTCGCAACATGGTTTCTCTTGTTATGCATGTCTCTATAATTAGATAGGAGAGGGAAGTTTTCGCTTACATTCCAGGGATCATTCCAGTGATACCCTCTACTTCTGCTTTTAATGTGGTTTTATAATTAAAACTTTTTTTTGCCACTTCACGGATTACCACATGATCATTTTTAATAAGGCTGTTAGGACTGTTTTCTGCCTGCTTCTAAGCTGTCACTTCGTGCATTATCTGCATCTTTCCAGGCTCTGACAATGGTTATGATGGAAAGCAAAGCCTTGTCTCTTGCCCGCAGTGGTATTTGAAAGGATGAATGAATGGATGAATGAATGAAAGGAAAATGACATTATACCCACCCTCTGCCCTAACAGGAGGATAGAAAGACCCACCTTCATCAAACAAGAAGGAGCAGAAGGATGCCGTGGAAGCAATATACACGAAGCAGCAATGTCTTGGGACAGCCCCAGCCCGAAAGAGGAGAGAGAGAGAGAGAGAGAGAGAAAGAGAGAGAGAAAGAGAGAAAGAGAGAGAGGGAGAGAGAGAAGAGAGAGAGAGAGAGAGAGAGAGAGAGAGAGAGAGAAAGAAAGAAAGAAAGAAAGAAAGAAAGAAAGAAAGAAAGAAAGAAAGAAAGAAAGAAAGAAAGAAAGAAAGAAAGGGACAGCAGGCAACTGCCACCAGAGCTGGCTTCTTTTTCAGAATGTCTGGTTCTGAGGATCCTCAGAGCCAGTGATAAAGGAGTTGCTTTAGGTGTCTCTCCCAATACAGAAAAGCATGGCAGAAGTGTTTCTAATCATTTGATAGCCATTTAAAGTTGTTTCAGTTCAAGCAAGGAATGGGCTGAAGAAACTAGATCCAAAGACTCTTCTCTCCACCTACTTGCACTGAGGCCCTGTTTTCAAGATGCGACAAATGCCGTATTTGCATTTGAAGGCTTTCGGGTTGTCTTCAGAGCAGTTGGACAAACATTTCAGGCTGCCTGATGTTGTATTAGGGTAATAGTAGGGTGCAAATGGGGGCCCGATGGCTGCTTTGCAATACTCTGGGAAAGGAAGAAGAAGAAAAAGATAAGGCCATCTAATGAAATGTGGGGAGGCATATGCAGGACCACCAATTGGACTGATGGTGGGAAGCCAGCTAAGGGGTCAGTGCAGCCACTCCAGAGGATGTGCCAGAGCAGGAACTAGCCATTTTGGCATCTGGAGCAAGTGGCGCCATCTCTCATTCATTCCTAAGTGAGGAAAAATGGAAGCGTATACAGTACTCTTAAAAACAGAAAGGGATGGGGATGGGAGGTTGCTGTTCATTTTCCTAAAATTTCCCAGTAGATTCACTTCTAGATTTCAGTGCCTTCTAATGTTGGCATCTGGGGGGGGGTCTGCCTGCTCTGCCCAGTTACAGCATAACCTTATGGACCCTTTGGTTCAGCCCAATGGATGGGGAAATCCTAGGAGGGGACTGTGGCTCACAATTTGAGAGTTAGAAAGTGGAGGAGAGCTGGAGAGGCGGGAGGTGCCCTTTGCCACTTTGGTTTCGGTAGTAGAATTTCAATTAGTTTGTGCAGGGGAGAAACTGGTTCAACAAGTTACTGTATTTTTCGCACCATAAGACGCACTTCCCCCCCACAAAACAGGGGGGTGGAAAGTCTGTGCGTCTTATGGAGCGAAAAATACGGTACTCCCACTCTGATGCTGGAGAAAAGAACTTGAGGTGTACAAATTGTATCACCCAGTTTGGGGCTGTGTTATAGCACTGCTGTTATTGTTTTGTTATATATGTATCTATGTTATATATGTATAAAAACATTTTTGTAAAGTTTATGTTTGCAATACTACTTTATCCATCCATCCATCATCCATCCATCCATCCATCCATCCATCCATCCATCCATCCATCCATCCATCCATCCATCTATCTATCTATCTATCTATCTATCTATCTATCTATCTATCTATCTATCTATCTATCTATCTATCTATCTATCTATCTATCTATCTATCTATCTATCTATCTATCTATATTATTTTTATGTGGCAATTCTGTCTACATACCAGTGTAACAAACCAATGCAAGGGGCCCCAGAACTCCTCATTCCATGGTTTTATATTTGAAGCATGAAGACAAGTAGATCTCCTTTGGTTTAGAACAAGGGTGGACAACTGCAGCCCTTCCGATATTTTTGAACTGCAACTCACATAATCGTGTTAATGGTTGGCTGGTTCTGTACTGTACTCAGTGATATTAAGAGACAAGCATGGGCCATCCTTTTCTACATTGGAAAGAACTCACCTTCTGCTGAGAAATTTGAAGTTACATTGCGGATTGGTTCCTCTGGAACAAAAAAACAAAAATCTGAAAAAAGAAAGAGGTATTTGCACTGAAACATTTTTACCTTGTCAGAGTATTGAAAATTTACAGGCCTGAACAGAACAGAAGCATTAATGAGCTGCCATGATATGAAGATGTGTAAAATGCTGAGTCACAGTGACTCTGGAGAGGTGGTGCCTGGATGATGCAACACCTGCTCTGATTGGGCAAGGGCAGATACTCAAGGGTATATATATGAAATGAACAGAGAACATGTACCACCCTTCACTTTGATGATTCCATGCTGTCATGCTGCGCTTTGTATATTTGTATATGCTGTAAATACACGTGTCGTGCTGGAGGAAGCTGAACGTGTGTGTTATTTTGCCATTAGGACCTGAAAACATTAACTCTGCTGGATCTTCGCGGGTTTGCAGTAACAAACCTATATTTCCCTCCTCAACTAATCTTTTTCATTCTTCATTTAAATGTCAATGTTAAGAATATTCTGTATGTTCCCCTGTTTCTTTAAAACCTTTTTAGGCTTGGAACCCATAAAAACTAATAAATTATAATTATAATTATAGTGCCCCCTAGTATTTCATTACTGCTATACAGTGATGCCTCGCAAGACAAAAATAATTTGTTCTGCAAGTCATTTCATATTGCGAAAATTTCATCTTGCGAAGTGTAGTTTACCATAGGAATGCATTGAAATTTAATTAATGTGTTCCTATTTCTCTTGCAAAGCATGGCCATAGAAAAATTTGTCTTGTGAGTCACCAAAAAAATAGCAAAACGCTTTCGTCTTGCGAGTTTTTTGTTGCCGAGGCATTCATCTTGCGAGGCATCACTGTAGTTACAATTTTTAAAAAGTAGCCCTTAATCCTTATGCTTTTAAAGTAACTAATAAGTAACTTAGTTGCTTTTTAAAAATTGAAATGGTACAAGCTGATGACCTGTGGTAAAAAGCACACTGCCCTGTCCATCTTCTTGTTGCCTTAAACAACAAAGCACAACACAACAGCATGAAGTAAAACATCTATCTGCACTTGAACTGTATGATATTTCTCCTCCACTTTTCAGTGTGGTCACACACCCTAACTAAAAAATAAAAGTCCTATTCAGTCAGACTTTAAACCTTGTGGGGCCCACATGCACTGAAAATAGTATAATCCCCTCATCCCCTCTGTTGTCTCTTTAATCATGGAAACATGATTGTTTAGGACAAGCCATGATGGGGATGTAAAATCTCCAAGCTTAAAATGATACCTCAAAATGCAAGATGCGGGGGAGGGGTATCAGGAGACAGGTATCTAGTTGTCTTGTGTGCTCCCAGAGGCATTTGGTGGGACCACTGTGAGGTACAGGGAGCTGGACTAGATGGGCCCTTGGCCTGATCCAGCAGGGCTCTTCTTAGGTTCTTATGACAGTTTCCTGTATCCATATAACCTTTCCATGTGAGTGAGAAACTATGTTTGTGTGTGTGAGTAGTTCATGGAGATTATATTGAGGTATAGCAGTCTCTCTTCAGACAGCCATGTTTCTGTGAATAAAGCGACGATGAAGGGGGCAGCGATAATACATTCCCCATCAACAGTGTGTAGGCTTCACATACTTTAAATCATGCCCAAACAGGGCCATATATTACAAAAGGAGTGATGCTGTTTATTTTATTTACACTTATTTTATTTCTATGCTACTTTTCTCTCAATTAAAGGAGCCAAAGGGGGTCACAAAATATTAAAAACAAACCAACTAAAACCAAAATAAATTATAACAAGGCTTTAGTTACATGACAGCTGTATTACTGTAACATGCTTTATGTGGGGCTGCCTTTAGAAAGTGCTTGGAAACTTCAGCAAGTTCAAAACAGTACCACCAGACTGCTGACTGGGGCTGGTTACAGGAATCACATAATTCCCCTGTTACAACAGCTCCACTGGCTGCTGGTTTGGTTCCGAGCACAATTCAAAATACTGGTTTTAACCTATAAATCCCAGGGATGAGGACTCGTGAGTTGTGACTGACACTCGAGTCCAAATCCAGTTCAACTGGTGACTTGACTCGGACTCGACTAGAGGTTCTGAGGGGGACTTGTGACTTGGACCCATTTGTCATTTCAAAATACCTCAAAACACACATAAAAATAATACTAACTCCATTCTATGATTTTACCCAGCATACATGATCAAAAATGGCCTAGCTGTTCAAAGCCTGTCTAAAAAAGACGGACTTCATATGTGTCCAGAAGCCCAAAAGGGAGAGGACCAGCTTAGCTACCTGTGGGGCAGGGCATTCCAGAATGCAGAAGCAGCCACAAGCAAGCAATTCTCTCACATTCCCACCTGAGGTGCCTGTGAAGGCAATGGGGTTAAGAGAAGCACCTCCTCTGTCAAGATCTAAAAAGCTCAGAAGGCTTGTATGGGAGATAAGATCCCTCAGACAGACCAGATTCAAACAATACAGTATAGGATTTTACAGGTCATAATAACCAACACTTTGAATTGGCCCTAGAAATGGACCAGCAGACAGTGGAACTACTATAACAGGAGTGATGTGCTCCTTGTAACTGGCCCCAGTCAGCCTTGGGCGCTGCATTTTGTGCCAGCTGAATTTTCTGAACTGTCTTTGAAGGCAGTCTTATGGGCAGTGGGTTGCCGTAATCCAAATCAGACATCTCCACTAATGGACACAGTTGGCGCACCAGTTTTAACTGGGTGAACATACTCCTGGCCACCACCGAAACCTGAGCCTCCAGGCTCAAGGATGACTTGAAAAAAGCTCACAAGGGACTAATTACCAAGTGTGAAATTTCATATTGTCTCAATCAAGTTGCAATTTGTGTCCATTATACTAACCAACCATTCTCACTTCATTTTCCGTATCATTGAGCCATTCACAAATGATTGCTATGTAGCTTCACTCCCATGTCTGAGCAAGTGGACTTGATCCACCAAAGCTCACATTAAAATATAGCAGTTATTCTTTAAGTGCTACAACTTTATTGTTGTTGTTGTTGTTGTTGTTGTTGTTGTTGTTGTTGTTGTTGTTGTTTTGTTTTGTTTTGTTTTGTTTTGTTTTGTTTCTTATCTGATCTCAAGGGGGAAATGGGTTTGTGGTATATCACTGGTGCATTTTCTCTGTAGAGCTCTGCTATTTCAAGAAGGTGCTGCTGGGAAACATTAATATGAACATACCTCCTTGAACGAGGACACTGTTGCCTGAAACTTACCAGGGCCATCTGAACAGTTCTCCTGGGTGGCGTTCAAGGTAACCACTGTCTGCAACACTGTCTCTGAAACATTCTGGAGAACTGTATCGATGCTGCTCTCGGTCATGTTATGTACCTTAGCTTCAATGATGATTTTGTGGTCTACAATGATGCTGCCACGCCTTAGATAAAAAAGGATGTTGACAGGTAGAAAGGAAAAACTGAAAAGATATTTGTTTTTGTTTGCAATCGTTACTATAGACAGGCCAAATTATTGTTCTAATGGTAAGCCCCATCTGGACTGTCAGCACAAACAAAAGCTGAATGGACACTCTCTAATTACAAACTTATTACTAACTTGGGATACAGACTATATGGGCAGTTTGTAATAAATGGCCCATTCTATTCTTGGACAAACTTTGGGTTCAACACTAGGTGGCCAGTTCTTCAAGTAATATGAGAAAAAGAAGTCACTTACCTCTAACCATAGTTCTTTGAGTGGACCTCTGTGAATTCACACAAATGGGTCTTCTCTGCGCCTGCGCTGATGTTCTTGGAATATTCTAGAGCTAAAAGTAACAATTTTATGGTATGATCCCGCATGAGGCACATGCTCCTCCCACCCAAGATTCCCCTCAGTTCCAAAAAATTTTATCCGCTGGGCCAGTGTTATATGATAGAAAGATAGCCGTGACGGACAGAGGAGAGGGTGGATGGGTAGTGCAAATTCACGGAGGTGAATAAAGGGAGGATCAGACCGGAGGGCTACGAGTTCACTGGCTGTCTTGGCAGATGTAATAGCCACAAGAAATGCCATCTTGAGAGTATGGAATTTCAAATTCGGAGAGGACATGGGCTCAAACTGATGGCGCATTGGCACATTTAGTCCTATCTGTAGCGACCATTGAGGAACAACACATTGGTGTGGTGGGTGGATGTTTTTCAGCCCCTTAAGGAATTTTTTGACCATCTGGCATGTAAAGAGCTTTGCTGAGGCGGGGTCGTCTGGTTGGTGAGCAATGATCGCTGAGATATAAACTTTTAAAGTTAAATGAGACATATAAACTTTTAAAGTTGAATGAGACAGTCCCAACTCAAAGAGGTGCAGTATAAAGGTAAGTAACGTTTTGAGGGATACAGGTATGGCAGGTAAGGTTTTTTTTTGGTAAACTTGAGGAAAGATTTCCATTTCTTATCGTATAGGAGCTGAGTTGATGGTTTTCAGGCTCGATCAATGATGAGTCTCAGGGCGGGAGTATTCTCCACACTGTTAGATTCAGTGACGATAGGTCTGGGTAATAGACCATCTCTTCATTCAGCGTTAGAAGGTCAGGAGCCTGAGGAAGTTGGAATGTGTCCACTGACATCAACTCAGGTAAGTGAACCAGGGGTGTCTGGGCCACCAGGGTGCAGTCAAGATCATGTTGAATCAAAAGTGATGGAGTCAGATCACCATCCATTGGATGAGTGGTATCAATGGGAACAGATATAGCAGGTTCTCTGACCAGTCTATAATGAATGCGTCTCCAATGGACTTGGTGTCTGCTACGGCTCGAGAGCAATATATCTCGAATTTCATGTTCAACTTCAAAGCAAAGACATTGATCTTGGGACTTTCCCAACATGAGCAAAGTTGATGGAAAACTGAGTAGTTGAGGACCCATTTGTGGGTCCTCGATGTCAAGTGATTCATATGGCCAGCCAGGTAATTGTCTTCTGTAGAGATGTGCACCTCAATAGGGAAGATATGATGCTGGTAGCACCATTCCCATAAGTTGATGGCCAAGTATAAAAAGGACAGGGAGTGTGTGCTGCCCTGCTTGTTGATATAGTACAGTGCAGTCATATTGTCCATTGCCAGCTGCACTACTTGTCCCTTTATAAGAGGCAGGAAGGCATGGAAAGTACGGGTGATTGCCATGAGTTCCAGATGATTGATGTGAAGCAACATCTCTTGTTTTGTCCACAGGCCATGAATTCTGTGATCCAAGCAGTGTGCTCTCCATCCTGACGGGCTGGCATCGATGGTGGCTTGCAGCGTCAGTTGCTGTGAATGGGCGTCCAACCCGAAGGTTCAATGTGGATGTCCACCAGGTGAGTTGGTCTGCTAGCTCTGGTGTCACCTGAAGGTTCGTGTTCTGATGATCCTTGATTGGGTTGAACAGTGAGAGGCACCCTGAGTGGAGTGACCGGAGTTTGTCTGGCATGTTGTATTACCAATGTCGCAGACACCATGAGCCCTAGGAGATGTTGGACATGGTAGGCTGAAATGAGAGCTTGTGGATGGAATGGCAGAATTCCCTTTCCAGTTTCTTTATTCTTTCCATTGGTACGAATGCTCTTGCCTGTTTGGAGTCGAGGAGGGCTCCAATATAAGTGATCCTTTAGAGCGGTTCCAGCTGCAATTTTGCATGGTTGATTTTGAGCCCGAGATTCTTTAACATGTCGAGCGTGATCTCTGTTGCTCATATGGCATCATGATGAGATTGTGTTATTATTAACCAGTCATCGATGTATGGGTAGATGTGTATGCCCTGTAGATGAAGGTGCACTGCGACCGGTGCCATACACTTTGTGAAAGTTCTCAGTGCCATTGAGAGCCTGAATGGCAGGGAACAGAACTGGTAGATGGAGTTGTTGAAGCAAAATCTGAAGAATTTCTGATGGGACGGATGGATAGATATATGGAAATATGCGTCCTGCAGGTCGATCACCACAAACCAAACCCCCTGGGAAAGAAGAGGAATAATGGTGTCGAGTGTTAACATTCTGAATTTACGGGGTTGAATGAAACTGTTTAGATCCCTAAGAGCAAGTATTGGATGGAGGCCCTCATCTTTTTTATGTACTGCAAAGTATCTTGAATAGAAGCCATTAATCAAGTCAGATGGTGACACTTGAATTATGGCATGTTTATTAATAAGAGTGGAAATCTCTTCAAATAAGGCCTCTGAATAAGGGGTAGATTTGACATCACCTGATGGTGATGTCAAATCCAAGTGATAACCAGAGGAAATGATGTTGAGGACCCAGGAGTAATTAGTAATGGATTGCCAGAAGGGTAGGTAAGGGCATAATCTGATTTAAAACGAAGAGAAGGAATTGGTTGGAGATAGGATGTTAACGTTAGTACTGCTGATAGGTCTTACCCTTCTTTTTGGCTTGCAGAAGGGTTGGTGTTGATGCTGTTGTTTTTGTGGTCGAGATGATGATGTCGAGGGTGTCAGGATGGAGAATGACCTGTCAGATTGTGCGGGTCGAAATTGTCTGTATGGTTGGTAATGATGGTATTGTTGAGCTGGTTGCTGGTAGCATTGGGTTTGTTTGTACTGAGGTTTATAGGGACGAAAGGACTGCAGGTTAGCGTATGATTTTACTGTCTTTCTAATTTTATGGAGATTCTCCATAGTCTCATCGTTTTTGTTGTTGTTGAAAAGACCAGAGCCGTCAAAGGGAAGCTCTTCGATTCTGGCTTTAACATTGTCATTTAAGCCTGTGGATCTCAGCCAAGCGTATCTATGGATGGAGAGGGAAGATGATAAAGTATTTGAAGCTGCCTCTGCTGTGTGTCTGGCAGTGATTCTCTGCTGCTTTGCCAGAGATGTGGCTTCAGCATGAGCATTGATGAGCTCAGATTTGATAGACCCAGGAACAGACTCCAAAATTGGCAGGCTCTTGGTCCATAAATGGCGTTGATAGGCACCCATAGCTGCCTGATAATTGGAGACTCGGAGGAGGAATGATTGAAGTGAGTAAATTCTGCATGCTATGACATTGAGCTTCCTGCCCTCCTTGTTGGTTAGAGAAATAGAAGATTTGCCTCTAGATTTGGATAGATTAGATTCAACTATGATGGAGTTAGGGCTAGGGTGCTTCGCCAAGAATTCAGTATTGGGACCATGTGTTCGGTACATGTTTTCTGTACACCTGCAAATTTGCAGGTGGTTTACCCCAAGCGTCCTTTACATAATTCAACATGGAAGGTATGAAGGCAAGACTGAGTAGTTGAGATCTCTCTCTATTAATGTCCTCAAATATAAGGTCGGTTTCAGGTGAAGGGGGCTCTTCCACTGGGATTTTAATGTGGTAGCCTTATGCGATATGAGATTGGAGCACAATGAGAAATCTCCCTAGGGCGAAGAAAGGTGGTTGTCAATAACATCAGGGGATGGGCTTGGAATATTGGCTGGTGATTCCTCTGAAGAGTCCGTGTCAGTGTCAAGCTTGGATTCGAATGAAGAAGATGAAGATGGATTATCATCTTGTGCTAAAAATTGATCATGACTGATGTTAGATGCTTGATGAGTTTATTTTTTTATTTTTATTTTTATTTAGGAACAGGGATAAAGGGTCCGAATTGGTCATTGAAACTGTAGGAGCTGGTTTCGCCTTGGCTGAATGCTTTACACATTTAGACTGTTCGATGTGGGAAGATGGTAATGGGCGCTTTTTTGAGTGTTAGTGTTGATGCGGAAACATGAGCTGATTTATGGGATCGATGTTTCTTAGGCGGAGGCAGCTGTTCGAGACAATGCTGTTTGGCTTGGAGGTATTGAGACAGGTTCTGGTACTGTTCCATTTAAAACTGCATCAAAAATGAGAAAACATTTTCCACGCCGAACTGTTGGAAAGTAGGAAAAAATGGGTATGGAAAATATTGACCAAATTGAGGCATACTGGTCTGCCCGAGTTGAGGTATGTCGGTCCGCATCGAGATATGTTTTCTCTTCTCCTTTCTTTTTCTTGGAGATTGTGGTGGGGCATTCGGCTCCGACAATTCACTTTCAAACGCCTGCCCTGACATAGGGCTCGAATGGGCCATGGCTGGCTGGACTGGACGGAAGCTTAGTTACTAAATGGCCTGTAGAGAGGGGAGGGCTACTAGATGGTGCCAGAGCCTGTGCTAATGGGATATGCATCTTATCCCCCTCTAAATTCAACTCCAGCGTCTCTCTCGATGATTCCTCCATGATCAGAGATGGGGGTTTGTCTTTTGGAGGAAGAGTGTCAGCCAATTTAACCCTTTTTGATTTCTTAGAGAGAAGCTTTTCCTTTGCTTTTGCAGTTGTTTCCTTACGTCGACTCGTCTGAGGTGCTGATTTAGACTTGGACTTTGAGGACATTTTTGAAGTGATGGACCCTTCCTTAGAGTGAGGAGAGGGGATCATTTGATCGGGAGCAGACACGGATGGAGTCTGTCGCTCTACCGTTCCTTCCCGCGAATGAGTAGACAGTGGAGCCGAGGCTGCAGGATTCATAGCAACTTCCGAAAGGTGGGATCTCAGTCTCTGAAGCCTCTGTTTAAGTGCGGCCTTAGTTAGATTTTTACAGGCTACACAGGTCTGGGTCTGATGTTGTTTGCCCAGACAGTAAAGGCAATTATCGTGACCGTCTAAGTACGGTACTTTGCTATTTCAGCCCACGCACCTTTTAAAAGGAGCTGAAGAGGCCATAAATGGTGTGAAAAGGGAAGGAGAAACGGTTGAAGAGTCCTGGGGGAGGGGGGGAGTCCAAACTAGGAGTAGATGAAAACGAAACAACTCACAGGGGATCGTAAATCAAACATAGAAAAACGGAAATTTTCAATCAAACCAAAAGGAAGAAGGGAAAGTAGCAATAAGCGCTAAAAATTAGCTGAGGAGTTAGCTCTATCTTTGTGGAGAACCTTTCAGCACGGCGGAAAAAAGGAACTGAGGGGAATCTTGGGTGGGAGGAGCATGCACCTCATGGGGGATCATACCATAAAATGGTTACTTTTAGCTCTAAAATATTCCGAGAATGTCCGCTCAGGAACAGAGAAGACCCATTTGTGTGCATTCACAGAGGCCACAAAGAATAATAATAATGATGACTAGTAATCCTTTACAGACTGTTTGGAAGGGAAAGAGTGTCAGGGAATTAAACATAAAACAATGGAGAACTTGGTAGCCAGACTGATCCAAGGATAGGACTCCTGTGTCTCTTTTAGTACAAATTGTCTCTAGTGGGCTTACAACAGGAAAGTTGGGGTTGAAAGCTAGGAAATATTCACTGGATTTGCTGTGAGATATGAATGGATCACTGGGAACAGTAAGGAAGTTAATAACCAAGCATTTCATGCTGGTTTTCTCCTTGGACACTCACCTTACGCTGATAATCTCCACACCTTTGTATCCAGGAATATCTTTATAAACTTTGCTCATCTGGAAGGGAAAGAAAAATCCATAATGGGTTCATTAACCAGGCAAAAGCCGTTCAATGGGGGAGGGTAGACAGACAGACAGAAACCTTTATGACATGATGCAGGGTGACTGACTTTTTACCTGCTCCTTAAACTCATTCTCCAGATTCTGGTATTGGACTGAGCTCTTATTTGCATAGCTTTCTTCATATTCTCTATTAGTTATCTTCACCTCAACATCAAGTGACACAGACACATTTTCTAAAATAAAAAGATATCCATGTTTAAGCAGATCTAACATGTTGATATATTCTTTGAGAGGGAAAGCTGAAGACTCTGGAGGCAATTTAGTCTGGGGAAAAAAGATTACAAGAATACTGTATGTATAGAAGTTCATACAATTGTGCATTGTGTGGAGAAAAGTGGTATTATTGGGATTTGAAATGTAACTTTAAAAAGCATTTTATTTCTGTAACTCACATCATTTGAAAAATAATTCATTGTTCTTGGTCACAAAAGTAACTCTTCATGTTGATTGCTGCACTGGTCATTATTTTTCCATTACTTTTTAAAATTCCTCAGGACTAGAAGGTGAATGGCATAAAATTTGAACAATTCTGTTAAAAACTCCTTAAAAAGTAACTGGAAAACTTAAACCCCCATATTAGGAGAATACCTTTTTACGCCCATCAATCAACCAAAGTCTAGAAAATGTTAAAATAACTTTGATTTTTGCTTATGATGAAATTTACCTTTGTTACATTCTCAGAGAGCACTGTTTAATGCATTGTATTTCACAATAGGATTTCAACCACTAATTCTGAGGTCTAGACAATATTATTGTGAATAGTAGTTTCAGGGGAGGTCACCTTAAGCCTCTGTGTAGGATTCCCACATAGAAATGACAGTTCCTGTTGGACACAGGATGCTAGACTATATCATCCATCATTTGATCCAGCACAACATTTGGTGGTTCTTTTAATACGGGCCTGTTGTTACTGTGTACCATCAAGTAACTTCTGGCTTATTGTGACTTTATGAATTAGGGTACTACCAGATTGCAAGGAAGTATTGCATCTGATCACACTGGAAAAGGTCACTTTTATGGGAATGATCTCCCTTAAAATGACCCTACTGTTTGTGCAGGGACTAGCCTAGCCCAGCCCCTATAATAAGTAGCTCTCCCACTAGCCCAAAAAGGTTCAGCTTGAGCCTGAATCAGGGTTGGGCTGGGTAGCTAATGGAATCTGCCCTTGGAGTTATTTTTTTTTTTTTTTAGCAAAATCCTTTTATGACTAGACAGGTCTAAAATATATGAGAAGTATCAGTATTTAAGGCTGGCACTTCAGAGTAATTTTCCCGTAGTGTAAGTTCATGTATACAGGGAAAAACATTTAATTCTGTCTTGCTGGACACAAATCCTAGCAAAAACATGAATTTTGAACTATATTTAAGTGAAGTGCAATATTACACCATATTTTTCTGTGTATAAAACGCCCCCATGTATAAGACGCCCTCCACTTTTCTAATCCAAAATTAAGAAATCTAAGTGGGGGTTTAGCAAGTGTAGGGGGAAAGGGGTCAAAGCACTGCAGGATTGCTTTGATCCCTGCTTTCTCCTTCACTTGTTTTTGTTCTCTCTTCAGCTTACTTCCGTGTATAAGACGACCCTAAATTTTTAGTCTAAAGATTTTAGACAAAAGTATAGTCTTATACATGGAAAAATATGGTACCTAGATATGTTAATCGGGATTAATAGTTTCCCCAAGATCCTTTTCTGAGCTATGCTCAAATTTGAATTGCTTTTAATTTATGAAAACAAATAGATGGTGTAATTTCTTCATTAGCTGTGAACAATACTTCACCAATTCTATGGAAAGATTGCTGCTGTGTAAGATACCTCAGTGGTTTAGGTATCTGGCTATGAAGTCAGAGGTTACATGTTTGATCCCCCTCTTTGCCTCCCAGGAGAACAGCCAGCCTGTGTAGCCACAGGCAACCTACACAGTCCCAGGGTGTCCCCAGAAGGAATGGTAAATCACCTCTGAGTATTTGCTCCTTAGAAAATCCTGGAAAGGGTTGCCATAAGTATGAATTTACTTGATGGCAAACAATTACAGTTTCAGATGCAACAATCAAGGACAGAGAAGAAATTAAAAAGTTTTAAACTGCCAACCATAGACAAGAATGTAACATAAACATCTCCTTCACTGAAATGTTTAGAAAAAGATGAGAAACATACCTAAGGTCCACCAAAATGACTTTTAGAAAACCTTTTCACATTAGTCTAATTGTGAAATTTCATACTTTCTTACTTTCCCTGTTGATTGATGTTTGAAAAATCATAGTTGGATAAAATTACATGGGAAATTCTATTCTTGGTCTATTTTTATATATTCAACAGTCCTGTAAATGGAAGTCTTGGGTGGGTCATTACAGGGTAAAGCCTTTTTAGCCTTCATGGAGAACCCAGCCAGAAACAGAAAGAGACTGAAATGCACAGGATTTTGCCCGATGTCCCACTTTTGCTTACCACTTTTAGCAGCGAATTCATCCGAAGGAAACTCACACCGGGGGCCGGTGAACAAATTATCACGACAGATGCATTTAATTCCATCATAGGTTCCTCCATTCATACAAGTTCCTGGAAGACAAATCCCATCCACTCTAATTTAGTAAACAAAAGTCTGTACAGAAAAGGAGAGTAGAACGGTAAACTGCTTCATAATCGCTGGGGGCAAACACTCAAGTACTGCTCTGTGATGTTCAAAAACAGTGTCAGATAACACCGTGAAGAACTTTATCCTGCAGTGTCAACTCCCATAGTGCATGTTAACACTGCCTTTGCTGCAAATTGCCAGTAACCAAATAACTCAAACAATATAGAAAATTTAAGATTTTAATCATTTTTCCAGTAAGTCACCTGATCAGGAAAATAAGGCAAAAAACAGAAGGGGGACTATAGAAGATAATTTAAGGATCCAATATGCAGAAGAAAGGTTCCATAATTATAAGAATCTTCATTAGGCAGTTGGTTTTCATATATCTACTACTCCATAAAGAACAAACATTGAAACAATCAAATCAGGAAATAAAAGGAATGATTGTGTGAAGGGAGAGAGAGAGAGAGGAGGAGGAGGAGGAGAAATTAAACATACAAGGCGGGGGGGGAAGGAAAAATGAGTGCTTCCTCAGGAACAGAGTTACTGCATTTTCATTTGTATGTCACTACTAAATAAAGCATAGGAACTACAGTGTAGTTTTGTAAACGGAAAATTATTATGTGATTCCTGGAATAACAGTTTAGAAGAGTAAAAACAAATAATTGTACAGAATGATGCACCTCATGTTCCGATTTGTTTCAAGAAGCTCAAAAAGATTGTAATAAAAAATAAAAACATGAAATAGCAACACACGGCTCACCTGGGGTAGTTGAAGATTTGGTGGTGATTGTAGACATTGAGGTACTTCTCGTGGTAGTTGTAGTAGTGGTAGAGGTACTACTAGCAGCTGAGGAAATGGTGGAACTTTTAGACATGCTACTAATCCCCGAGGAGGGAGAAGGAGAACTCACTGTGGTACTATGTGTTGTAGTTGAAACTGTAGTGCTGACAGATGTGTGAGACCTGCTTGTTCTGGAAGGGTTTTGAGTTGACGTTAAGGTAAGGGGTGAGGCAGTGGTTGCGGACTTGGATGTACTGGTGGTAGTCAGTGTTGAGGTCGTGGTGAAAGTACTGGTGGATGTTGTGATGCTGGGGTCTGGAGAGGACCTGCTGGTTCCCAGGAGAGGAGGTGTGGTCCTTCCCATGGCTTCTGATATAAGAGTGGGAGTGGTGGCCGTTGTAGTGGGAGAGGTGCTAGTTGTGGTGGTGGTGGTGGCGGCTGTGGCAGAGGTGGGATGAGAAGTTTGTGGAGAGGCTGAAGTGCTGCTGGGTGCTGTTTGTGAGGTGGAAGTGGTGGTGGGCTTCCCTGAAGTGGTTGTGCTGGTGGGGAAGATGGTGGTGGGAGGTGTGGATGTGAATACGGTCACCTGGGATGTGGTGAAAATGGGGTTGGGGATTGGTGTGCTGGATGCCAAAGTGGCAAAAGGTACTGTGAAGAGAGTGTCCGTCGTCTTCATCTGTACCGTGGTAGTTTCAGGGGTGGGAGTCATGGAGGAAGTGCTAGCTGCGGTTCCTTTTGAATCAGTAATGGTTGTGGTAGGCAATGTGGAGGAACTGCTTGTGGGGGCTGGTGACTCTGAGGAAGTGGTGGTGGTGGTGCCCAAGGTTGTAAAATGGGTGGATCTTTCAGTTGGGCCAGCTGTGGATGTGGGTGTGGTGACTGGTAATGTTACTGAGATGCTGGTGCTGAGGGTTTTGGGAGAGCTACTACTTCCTGTAGCAGGCTGGAGGGTCAAAGTGCGAGTCATAGCTTGGGTTGTGGTAAAAATGCTGCTGGATACTGTTCCTTTGCTCATGACTCCAGTGACGGTTGTAGATATAGGGTCCTCTGTGGTGGCAGAAACTGAAGTAGCAGAACTGCTGGTGGCCATGGTTGCAGACTTGGATGTACTGGTGGTAGTCAGTGTTGAGGTCGTGGTGAAAGTACTGGTGGATGTTGTGATGCTGGGGTCTGGAGAGGACCTGCTGGTTCCCAGGAGAGGAGGTGTGGTCCTTCCCATGGCTTCTGATATAAGAGTGGGAGTGGTGGCCGTTGTAGTGGGAGAGGTGCTAGTTGTGGTGGTGGTGGTGGCTGTGGCAGAGGGGGGATGGGAGGTTTGTGGAGAGGCTGAACTGCTGCTGGGTGCTGTTTGTGAGGTGGAAGTGGTGGTGGGCTTCCCTGAAGTGGTTGTGCTGGTGGGGAAGATGGTGGTGGGAAGTGTGGATGTGAATACGGTCACCTGGGATGTGGTGAAAATGGGGTTGGGGATTGGTGTGCTGGATGCCAAAGTGGCAAAAGGTACTGTGGAGAGTGTGTCTGTTGTCTTCATCTGTACCGTGGTAGTTTCAGGGGTGGGAGTCATGGGGGAAGTGCTAGCTGCGGTTCCTTTTGAATCAGTAATAGTTGTGGTAGGCAATGTGGAGGAACGGCTTGTGGGGACTGGTGGTTCTGAGGAGGTGATGGTGGTGGTGGTGCCCAAGGTTCCAGTCTGGGTGGAGCTTTCATTTGGTTCCATGGAAATGGTTGTGGTTGCTGTTGCTGTGCAGAAAAGCAGAAAATTGGGTGTTCACTGAAGTCAAGCGTCAACTTTCAGTAAAGCAGAAATGATTAAATTGAATGTTGAAATTAAAATTAAATTAATGTTGGTTTGTAGGATCTCAGCAGAGGTGTTAATCATAGGACATTTTGGAAGTCAATTACTCCTAAAGAACCTACCCACCGTGACATACTGTATAGTTATGGTATATTTGACCCTGATGGAACTCTTTGTCAGAAAGGAAAAGACCTCATTCCCTTGAATATCTACTTAGAATGTTCTATATTTTCCCTTTACTAGCAGTCCCACCCCAAACTGGCACAGGGCTAGGGCATGCTATCTGTTTGGCACAATTCATTGAAATGCAAAATAGTTCTTTGCTCAGTCTTTGTGGATGAGTACTTTCACCAAAATGACATTACGGTGGCTGGCGTTAGCTGAGAAGGCAACCCTGTGATGTATTAGGTTGTGGTGTTGAAAGTGAGGGTAGAGAAAAACCCACTTTTGTTATAATTGTATTTTGTTTTTGGTATTTTCCTAGCCAATGCAGTGTTCTAAAGCCATGCCAGGTTGATGCAGTGCCAGTTCAATATGTTACTCACCTTTTTAACGAACAGACAAAAAGGAAAGTCACCCCAGCCTCATGAATGATGCCTGAGAGAAAAGTCTGGGAAGGGAGCTATGCTGACTGCAAGGGCTCTGCCCACACAAGGCAGTGCACCCCCAACAGAGGAGAAAGGTTGAGAGTGAAAGCAGGTTTACTTCCCTTCTGTTTCCCCAGTCCAATGTTCTTCTCCTCATACTACAGCTATCCTTGGCTGCTGTTGCTGCTGCCTACTTACTCACAAGGAAATCAAGTAAATGTACTCATGAGTAAACTGGGTAGACCTTGTTTTGACTGGATCTGTAGCATGGGAGAAGAGGTCCTGTTTTTCCGTTACGTCCACAGAGGATCAAGGAAAGCACGTAATTGATTGCTGATCAGGCTAGAAGTGTTTCTTGCTGGGGGGATGGGAAGAGTGTATCAAATGGTAAATCTCTCCCCTCCACACTCCTACACACCCTTTGTAGTCCAATCCAACCCACACCCAAAACAGCCAGTTTGGAAGTGACCTAATGTTACATAACATCTCTGGATCCCCCCCTCACTTAATTACCAAACATTTGTATAGTGAGAAGATGAGTGGAGTAGTTATACAAGCTCTGCTAATAGCAAGGTGGGTCATCGTCAGCCACAAAGCAAAAACAGTGATCTCACAGCTTAAATGAGTGTATTTCTGGATATGTATTATCTATTTTTAAATATCTTTTAAAATACATTTACACCAGAAATAGGAACTCCTAATATCTGATTGGCCAAGAAAAAACTAAAAATTTCTTCTGGGAGTCATTTACAGTAATTTGGTCTTGACTGGCAGTATCAACAATTCAGCACTCCCTTCCCCAATATGCTTGCTGGAATGTTTATATTTAGACCTGTTGGTGCTCTTAAGAAATCCAGAAGCTCCGATGCTTTTTGCCTCTCAAATGGCTTTTTTCAAAATCAGTTTTGGATAGCCAGATTCTTTCCAAATTAAAAAAGGGGGCTGGGACTAACCATTATCTTTCAAGGTAAGGAAGTTTGGACTTTTCAATATATTTGATCTGTTTTAAATCTTCAGACAGAAAAGGTTGTCAATGTCTGCATGGGATGTGTGAGTTAAAACAATTTTACATTGTAAAAGATCATTAACTTGAAAACAATTTGCCCAAGCACGCCAAATTTGGCACGGAGCAAGAGCATACTGTCTGCCACATCTGTGCCAAATTTTGTGCTGATTTGAGATCCAGTTTCAAAATGATATATTTTTGTTTGAGGTGCCTCTATGTTTTGAATTGGCTTATGGAATGCAGAATTGGGCTGTCATGCAACATTTATTGCTACATGCCCATGCAGTAGTAATACCAGGGCAGGAAATCGCCTGAAAGTGATTAAAAAAATCTTTTCAGTGACCAATGCCATTCTTGTTTTGATCTTGATTTTTGATCCTGACTTTATATTCCTAGAAGTTCTTTGTGCTTTGATCTTTCTTCATGAGTCCTTCAACATCTGCTGTACTCTAGACATTTTTTTCTGAAATAATTTGCTCAGCCTGAAGTGTGTTGAGCCCAAGATTGAGATGAACTATAATTTTCTGAACTGCAGAATCTGAGGTTCTACCAGAGGACCTGTTTAACCTGTCCTTCTGAAAGTTCTGCTGTCTATGGTTCTTGTTAACTTGTTTGCCTAGTTTATTTATATGTCCTTAGGTCTCCCTTTTTTGCATAGCAGTGACGATAAATGTAGGAAATTGAAGACTGAGAAAGGGGAATGGATCATGCATGTAGAGAAGGAAAAGCAGATATTGGAATTGGACAGGGTTGGATGTGATTCAGTGGCAGAGAGTGTAAGATGGCAGCAGGTTTTTAGGGAAGAAAATGCTAAGTTTAAAGAGTTGGCTGAAGGATCACAAGTAAAGATTCAGAAAATGGAGGTACAACTTCAGCAGGCCCAGTTTGCAGCCTGCTTCTTGGCAGATCGTAACAGGTAGACAAAACCCAAAGTAAAACATGAAACATGTGATGCTGAGATTAGGAGATTGAAAGATGAGTTGAAGACACAGCAGAGCATAATTGCTGCTGTTTAGATAGAAAATTGTGAAGACTGTGAATTGGAGATTCCATCTCCAGCTGATGCTGCCTTCCTGCAGTCTGGAATTGCAGTCAGCTAGTGGTATTAGCTCCCTGGAAAAGACCCTGACGTTGGGAAAGTGTGAAGGCAAGAGGAGAAGGGGACGACAGAGGAGGAGATGGTTGGACAATGTCACCTAAGCGACCAACATGAATTTGGCCAAACTCCAGGAGGCAGTGGAAGACAGGAGGGCCTGGCGTGCTCTGGTCCATGGAGTCACGAAGAGTCGGACACGACTTAACGACTAAACAACAACAACAACAGTGGTATTCAATGGATGAGTTCAGTTCTAAAAATCCTGATTCCTGGTTGTGATTCTAACAGAACATTTTATAAAGAGCCATCAGCTGCAGAAGAACTTGCTGAAGCAAATGTAGTGGGAAAAGGTTTCTTGCTTTTGTGGATAGGATAATGCAGCCAATGATCAACTATGGCTTTGCTAATTGGAATTATGAGGTAGCTCATTTATAGAAGCTGAGTATTCAGGTTTGAATAGTCAGACCAAGGTGGCATTAGGCAGAATAGATATTGCCAATACAAGTGGGGATGATTTGTCTTGCAGGTTTCTGTG